TGTGTCTGTGTGTGTGTGTGTGTGTGTGTCTCTGTGTGTGTGTGTGTGTGTGTGTGTGTGTGTGTGTGTGTGTGTGTGTGTGTGTGTGTGTGTGTGTGTGTGTGTCTCTCTCTCTCTGTCTGTGTGTGTCTCTCTCTCTCTGTCTGTGTGTGTCTCTCTCTCTCTCTGTCTGTGTGTGTGTGTCTCTCTGTGTGTGCGTGTGAACTCTGGCTCATGCTGGATTCGTCTCTTTCACAGATGCACTTCCTGTATCAGTACTCGCTGCAGTTATTCCTGGACATCTACCACACGGTGTTATACGAGAACTCCAACCTGAAGAGCGCGAGCGACCACACACAGCGTCTGTCTCTCATCACCAAAGACCTGTTCCAGGTGAGCACTGAAGGCCTTTCACACCAAACACAAATGTTCAGCACGGAGGAAGAGTCCAGACTGAGGCAGATTCCCGTCTGTCGCACAAAAACAGATTCATTTTTCCTGTTCAGTTAATAAAAGCACACGGGGAAATACAAACTACTAATTTTATGCAAACCTGCGATCATTAAATGACACAGATACAGTCCATCTGACTCTATTCACTAGTGTTTTTGCTGCTGAATTTAAACACATTTAACAATAACCGCAGATGAGTTAAAGCAGCTGTATGAAGTTTGTGTATTTTTGTGACTTTGAAGCCCCCTACAGTTGAGTGGCATGATTACAGTGGATCGGTGCACATGTGTTTGTTGCTGCTGTAAAGCGTCACCAAGCGTACACACTCCCAGAACAGGCATTTGGGAAAGAAACAGATGCCATTCGCCGTATTAGAAGTCGGTGAACAATCAGAGCGATTTAAAAATAACTTACAGTTGCTTTAACTGTAGTAAAGAGCATCATACCCGTTTCATTATTTCATTGATGAAATGACGGTGATAAATTTGCTGCTCCTGCATTGTGATGTTCTTTGTTTTGCTTTTTTTGCATCGCCTTTGTTGTGAAGGGCCTTTATGCAGGAAATATTTAGTGACGTGTGATGGTTTTTCTGTTCAGGTGGCGTTTAACAGAGTCGCTCGAGGCATGCTGCATCAGGATCACGTCACGTTTGCCATGCTGCTCTCACGAATCAACCTGAAGGGCATGACCAGGTACAAACATCAAGAAACAAAATGTTCAGATTTCTCTTTTCATTTATAAGGGAGTTAATCTCCACTTGAATTCAGTTCTTTCTTTCTTTTTTTAAACTCTTTTATTGACATGAGTTTGCAAATCTATGTATGTGTGTGAATGCATAGCATTAGTGAGAAAATGAATCACATTCTGCTTAATGTCCTCCGTCCTTATTTTATTAGTAATAAGTTTAAAGTGAAGCTCAGAGTGATTTGTGTTTGTGATAATGTGTGTTCAGATCAGATGAGAACAGGACCGTGATTTACAGTCATTAGAGCTGAGATTTACAGAAAGAGCAGATGCTGATTTCTGGCTTTTAGCGCTTTAACTCTGGCTGAGAGACGTGGTCTTGCTCATGATCAGAGCTGTGTTTGTTTTCTGAGGATGTGCAGCTCAGATGTTTCCTCTCGTGTTTCTCAGCGAGCTGTCATTCGACGCAGAGTTCCAGCACTTCTTGCGTGGGAAAGAGATCGTGCTGAGCGGGACGACGGTGCCGAAAGTCAAGGGTTTGAGCAGCGAGCAGTCCGAGGCCATGGTGCGCCTCAGCCGTCTGCCTGCGTTTAAAGACCTGGTGGCCAAAGTGCAGGCCGACGAGGTGAGCGTCTCTCGTCTGTCTGTCCTGTACGTGTCTGTTCTTCACCACAGAGCATCTGAATGAGCAATGCCTTTCTGTCCTCCAGCAATTCTTCATGTGGATCGAGAGCAACTCGCCGGAGCTGTCAGTGCCGTATCTGTGGACCGAAGAGAAGACGTCCAGTGAGTACAATGCATTTTCACAAGTGTTTTTGCATGCATTTTCATGCACATTTTCCACGTTTTCACAAGCGTTTTTGCATGCATTTTTTCACACATTTTCCACACGTTTTCACATGCATTTTCACAAGTGTTTTTGCATGCATTTTCACACATTTTCCACGTTTTCACATGCATTTTCACAAGTGTTTTCACACGCAGCTCCCTGTGAGAGACTGCAGGAGTGACTCGTGTGTTTGTCCTCAGCTCCGATCGGTCAGGCCGTCCACCAGCTGCTGCTGATCCAGGCATTCAGACCCGACCGTCTGCTGGCCATGACACACATCTTCGTGTCTAAAGTCATGGGAGAAAACTTCATGGCCATCATGGAACAGCCGCTGGACCTGGCTAACATCGTGGACAGTGAGGTAGGGACGCGTGTCTGTGGTGTGCTGACGCTGTGATGCTGCGGATGCTGCATTAGTGCTTGTGTGTGCAGGTGAAGCCGGGGACGCCGGTGCTGATGTGCTCCGTGCCCGGATACGATGCCAGCGGATTGGTGCGGGATCTCGCAGCTGAGCAGAACAAACACATCACCTCCATTTCCATCGGTAAGAGCCTTCAGCACGTACACCGCCTGTGTTGGATTACTTTCTTCAAGTTACTAGTAAAGTAATGCATTACTTTTACATTTATAATGAAATAGCAGAGTTACTTTTTCAAATCAGTTTCCCATTAATTCACTGACCCTGCGTTGAGAGAAATCGGGAGTAAGTGCAGAGGCTCTTCCTTCAGCCTGAGGATTATTAATTTCACTTTTGGTGTGAAAGGGCTTTTACAGTTGCCAAAAATATAACGTTTGGGTTGTTTGTTAAAAACAAATAACCAAGCACTGCCCAGGTGACAAAAAGTAACGCCAAAGAAACGTAATGCATTACTTTCCGTAAAAAGTAACTAAGTAACGCAATTAGCTACTTTTTCATGGACTAACACAATATCATAATGTGTTACTTTTAGAAGTAATTTTCCCCAACACTGACCACAACCATCTAGACAGTCTAGAAAAACTCAAAAACTCAAGGGGAAAAAAAATCAATATATGCTATAAAAAAAAAACTGGTTTAAGCTGATACCATTGTATTTTTTCTGTTTTAAATTTCAGATTGTTAGTTGGTTGCATTTATTAGGTTCTTCGTAAAAGCCTAACCAGTGACAGGTTCTGCAAATCAGCTACCAGCTAGAAGTATAAATGATAGAGCGAGAATCTGCTGCTCAGTCCTGTGCTGTAGTGTCTTTCTGGATAGTCCCTGTTAAACTAGTGAAGTAACACACATGTGGTCCATCTTCAGGTTCTGCCGAAGGCTTCAATAAAGCCGACAGAGACATCAACACAGCGGTGAAGTCCGGCAGGTGAGAGGAGACCAGCTGACCCTTCTCACTCCTGATTGGTCAGGTCTGCTGGTCACGTGATCTGACGTGTGTTTGTGTGTCAGGTGGGTGATGCTGGAGAACGTTCACCTGGCTCCCGGTTGGCTGATGCAGCTGGAGAAGAAGCTTCACTCCATGCAGCCGCATGCCTGCTTCCGGCTCTTCCTCACCATGGAGATCAACCCCAAGGTCACGCATCACTTCCTGTGCTCACTGTGTGCTGTCCTGTCATGAGGAATGAGTCGTCTGATGTTGACCGTATCTCCCTCAGGTCCCTGTGAACCTGCTGCGGGCCGGACGTATCTTTGTGTTCGAGCCTCCTCCCGGGATGAAGGCTAATATGCTGCGCACGTTCAGCAGTATTCCTGTGGCGCGCATGTGTAAGGTGAGGAGCGGCCAGAGGAACATGCTAACCGCTAGAAGTGAAGCAGTAGCGTCTGTATCGTGATCGCGGTAGCGATTCCTGCAACGCTGAATCTCTGGTGCTCCGAAGCTGGTTCATATTTACTTGATTTGTGTGACATTTGTGATAGGAAATCATCATAAGGACTATTGTTTTTCAGTAGCTTTAACCACTTTGATAAAAATGTGCATTATGTGATGTGTGTCATAATAACATGTGAGCCGTGCTGGCAAAATGAGCGTGAATGCACATGGGCTAATTTTGAGCTACAGGCAAAACAAAAAAGGTTAAGAATGCCGCAAAAATGGGTCCATTAAGCTCTCGTCTAGCGATCCCAATTCTCCAAATAGTAATTAAACATCTAAGATTATCTTTATTTGTGGGTTTTCTAAGAGGAGTACCTTTTCTCCGCTTGCTTCTCGACTGTTCGAAGCGCTCACGATAAATATACACAGAATTACAGTATTTAAATATTCACGCAAACATAATCTGTTATGTCTTAAGTGAACGTTTGGGGAAAACATCGGATGTGTAACATTACATTACATTTAGTCATTTAGCAGACGCTTTTATCCAAAGAGGACAAGAGAAGCAATCAAAACCAACAAAAGAGCAATGATATGCAAGTGCTATAACAAGTCTGTTAGCTTAACACAGTACACGCAGCAAGGTTTTTTTTTTTTTAATTATATAATAAATAAAAAGGAAACGGATAGAATAAAAAAAGAATATAATATTAGGATATAATATTAGATCCGTGCATTACAGTAGGTCTTTATATATAAGCCGTCTGTCTCATTAATGTTAATTAAACGATAAAAGAAAAGGGAATCGCTCGCTGCTCTTTATTGAACTGCTTTTGTAGTTTTAATAATCAGTTTATTTGTAATAAACACGCTAAAGGGATTTTTATATTTGATTATTTGTTTTTCTTACTTGAATGCTTTTGTTTTGATGTAAAATGAAAAAAAAAATACAGTATACACTTCTTTCTTTGTTCTTTTTTGCATCTGTTCCGATTTATAACTACAAAGATAAAATAAAAAAATAGCTATATTATGATTATTAATATCGTAATGATTAAGAAAAGAATTGTAGGAAAAGATGCAGCGTTACTCTGTGATTTTTCTTTGGAACCTTCAGAAAACTTTAACACGATTTTTCTCAAAACTGACTTTGCTGACTCTCGCCCTCAAACGGTGTAGCTGTGTGCACGGGTGGAGTGCTTTGAAGAGTTTTAATGGAGAATGTGAAACAAATAGCTCTTTAACTCTGCTCATTGTGAATTATCTGGCCAGCACAGGTCACGTATAGTGATATACATCCATATCTACAGTCAGTGTTTCCTCTTCACCGCTAATTTTCCATCTTCAGATGAATCTGAAATGGGTTTTCTGCCGTCGTGAGCTGGTGTTTGGTGTGGTTTATTGTCTGTCTCTTCTCTCAGTCTCCAAACGAAAGAGCTCGCTTGTACTTCCTCCTGGCCTGGTTCCACGCCGTCATCCAGGAGCGCCTGCGTTACGCTCCGCTGGGCTGGTCTAAGAAGTACGAGTTCGGAGAGTCGGATCTGCGCTCGGCCTGCGACACGGTGGACACCTGGCTGGACGATACGGCGAAGGTTCGAGTCTGTTCCTCATGTGTGTTGTGCTGTATCTGTGTGTGAGGCTCTGAGCGCCTGTCGTTCTCCGCAGGGCCGGCAGAACATCTCTCCGGATAAGATCCCGTGGGCGGCGCTGAGGACGCTGATGGCCCAGTCCATCTACGGAGGACGCATCGACAACGAGTTCGACCAGCGGCTGCTCAACACCTTCCTGGAGCGTCTCTTCACCACCAGCAGCTTCGACAGCGAGTTCAAGCTGGCGCTCAAAGTGGACGGACACAAGGACATCAAGATGCCCGACGGGATCCGGTCAGCGCAGAGCCGTTTCATTACCTTTCTGTGTTGTGTTCAGCTTTACAGAGAAGGGTCAAATAAACACGTTTAAAACAGGAGAAATTAAGGTGCGTCACATTAGCCACATTTTGCAAGCAAAAAAGGGATCCGTTGTCTGTTTTGAATGGAGAAGTGATGAGTGAAGCTAGGTCTCAACTTTTCATGTTGCAATAATTGCTAAAGTTTTATCACGGTATTGAAATTTAGTTGCAAAGAAGTGTTGTCATAATACAGTATAACAGGTTTAATAGCTTTTTTCTTTCATTCACAATGAGCAATAGCAACGTTTGTTACAGAAGTTATTCTTCGTTAAAAAATACATTAAAATGTAAAAGTTTGAAAATACGTAACCTATTAAGTTTGAAACCTTTAAATCCTGTTCAGAAACAAAGTAGCAGCTGCTGTGTTTCCGGGTTTCCAGGGTAACGGCTGCATTTCTGCTCTTCAGCGCCACCTGCTGTCATAGAGAGTGAAAGTGCTTTTATCCAGAGCGTCTCCTTCAGTCGTTCCTCCATGCGCTTCTCATCCGTGCTTGTTTACATGAGTGCACACGCGTCTGTGACACCGCATACAGCGCTGTTGTGCATTTGACCAGTTGATGGGAAAAGTATTCTTAAAATGCATTTTAAAAAATCTGAATTTGTAATAAATAATTATTCACGGTATTTTGAAGTGCCTACGGTAACAATATCGCACATGTTCATTATCGTGATATATCACATTACCGAATACTGGCACGTGTCTAGATTAAGCACGGCTCAGACAGACGTCACAGATTGGATTTTGGCTGCAAAAATCCGTATAATGGCAAATGTGACGCATCTTTACAACCCCAGTGAACACAGTCCTCTCATGACTCATGTTTCATAATTGAGGAATTTCTAACCATTAGCACGGTTATGTTCCTGTTTATTTCTGTGAAGCTGAAGCGGTCTGTCCTGTATAAAGCGTGTGTGTGTGTTTCTGTGGCGCAGGCGTGAGGAGTTCATTCACTGGGTGGAGATGCTGCCGGACACTCAGACTCCATCATGGCTGGGTCTGCCGAGTAACGCAGAGAAGGTCCTGCTCACTACTCAGGGTACGAGTGTCTGCTGGGCTGTCATGAGGACGGTGTTTACTCCTGAACTCTGACCCTTCTCGCCTCCTTCTCTCTGTCTGTCTGTCTCGAGGTCACTGTCAGTTTCACAGGCTTTCATCATCAGAGCACACCTCCTCGGCTGCGTGCGCTAGAGCCGTTAGCGCTGCACGCAGCGGAGCGGGTGTCCTTCTGTCTCCTCAGCCTCCAGTAGCTGTATTTCACCGCCGTCATGTCACCGGCCCTCGCTTTGTTTTGATGCTGTTTTCTCCTCACAGTTCAGTTCAGTTCAGTCCTGCTCAGATGCATGTCATCCTCAGTGATGCCCTGGTCAACAACAGATGCTGGACTTGCCACGATGCACCGCTTTCACTTCACCGCTCGACTGCTAGTTAGTGCTCTGTGGTCATTTCTCCCTGCACAGTAACACAAGGCGGTTTGAGTTTAACTGGATATTTGAACTACACCAGTCAACATTTAAAGTGGATCAAAACCTTTCATCAAAAATGGTCCTAAAACCAAAATGTGTTCTTGTCTTAGGACAACTTTTTTGATCCACTTCAAATGTTGACTACTGTCTAAACGGAACACAAATTAAATTGACCACTGAACTTCAAACAAAACTCTTCATTAGGTGACTGCACATAATTAAAGTCTATTCTATTCTGCTTCGTTTATAATGTTGTCCTGATTCCTGAGTGTTAGCGGCGTCAGACCGTGGCAAGTCTTCCAGTAATTCCTCGTCAGGGTTTTAGCACTTGAACCCCCTTATTAACACACTCAAGTTTGTCCAGCTGTTAATTTGATCTCCCTCCTTCACTTCCTGTGGGCGTCTCCCTCCCGTACCTCACTTCCTGCTCCCGCGGCCGCTCCTTCCTCCCGCTCAGGCATTGACATGATGGGGAAGCTGCTGAAAATGCAGATGTTGGAGGATGAGGACGATCTGGCGTACGAGACGGAGAAGAAGCAGCGCAGCACGTCCTCGTCTGACACGCAGCCGGCCTGGATGAGGACGCTTCACACCACGGCTCGTAACTGGCTGCAGCTGATCCCGGAGTCTGTGAGCCCGCTCAAACGCACCGTGGAGAACATCAAGGTACGGCCCGAGTCTGGTCCGGCTGACCCACATTCACAGAGACCTCAGACGCATCGGATCAGTCCATTTGAGAAACATTGTTACCGGTCATTTTGAATGTTTTAAATATTGCATATTGCTGAAGGCTTTGTATAGAAAACGAGAAGAAACCTTTGTTTTTATATCATGTGAATAATCATGATTTAAAAGTAATACCCTTCTTTGCCTTGGCAGTTCAGATCGTAGCTGTCGTAAACACAGTTTGAACGCTTAGTGTTTCTTCTTCGACGGCTCATGAAAGCTTGGGTGTGAATTATTACTGGTTTCATGATTAGATTACGATTATGTCTACGATTTAGTGCTGTCAAACAATTAATCGCATCCAAAATAAGTTTTTGTTTACATAATGTATGAATGTGTGCTGTGTATATTTATTATGCATGTATAAATACTCACATGCATGTATATATTTCAGAAAAATAGGTTGTTTATATTAAATTATATGAATATACTGTAAATATAGATATGTAAATGCATGTAAATAGTTTCAAAATATATACTGCATGTGTGTGTATTTATATATACATAATAAATATACACAGAACACACATATATTATACAAACAAAAACTTTTAATTAATTGTTTGACAGCACTGCTACGATTCGATGTCATGATGCGTCATCCTCAATTTTCAATATGACGGCACATGGCTACATTTTGATTTTTGAAGTAATAAAGGGGGAAAAAGACAATTACAAGTGATAAACAAAAAGTACTTTCAGTATCTAAGGCCTCGTTTACACTGCAGGTCTTGATGCCCAATTCTGATTTGTTGCCTATATCCGATTTTTTTGGCTGTCCGTTTACACGTTCTTTCAATTGTGCCTCAGAAAATCTGATCTGCCTGTTTACATGAGCACACATCTGATTTATATCAGATTTATTTCCACATATGAATGAGGCCTGAAACCGATCTGGAAATATCCGAATGCATGCGTTTTTTTCCCGTTTACACTGTCATAGAACAGATCCGATCTGTGTCACATATGAGCAAAAGAATCTGAATTAGGTCACATTTAACTGACAGTGTAAACGAGGCCTAAGAGTGCTTTAAGTATCTGAGAGTTTACAGATAATCATAGTTATAGGTTTTTCTTTTTTCCTGTTTGATTATTACTGATGAGATCATAGACAGTGGCAGCTTTAATAGGCTGCGTTCACAGTAATGCACTGATCTATTTCCATGTTTAGTCCTGTTCTGAAAACATAACCGTGTTAATTTCGTATCATAAAAGTAACCACAGCCGCGATCGAGCTTCAGGACAAACAAACACAAATTGCTGTGAAAGTCTCAGTGCGTGAGTTTCGTGCGTCTAATACGTACTGCATTCCAAATGGCAGAAATGAAAGCGCATCTAAAGTAAAAGACTGAAATAACGGAAGTCAAGCAATGCACACGTGTCTCCCAGCGCATATTCTGTGCAACGAAGCCGCCGCGATTGTCTCTAGCGCACACACCTGCCATATGCAGGAAAAACAAGCTCTGATTCGATTCTGAACATGTTTTTTTTTTCCCGCACTGAGCTTGCTTTTTCCTAAATGTGCCCAGATCTCGGATTTATAAAATAATGTGTGCATTTTTTAATACTGGTGTGACAAGCGCGTATGCGAATGATGTCAGAAGGCTATAATGGATTATGGTCTATTACTGCATCCGCATCGCAGACACGATTAACTTCAGCACCCCTCATGCAAGCGTCTGCTCCTCCCAGGATCCTCTGTTCCGGTTCTTCGAGCGCGAGGTGAAGATGGGCTCGCGGATGCTGCAGGACGTGCGTCAGGATCTCACCGATGTGGTGCATGTGTGCGAGGGCAAGAAGAAGCAGACCAACGACCTGCGCACGCTCATCAACGACCTGGTCAAAGGTGAGTCAGCGGAGTGACCTCTGACCCTTCAGATCAGTGTCTGTGCGCCGGGTCACTGAAGCGCTGTGCTGTGCTCCGCAGGCATCCTGCCCCGCAGCTGGAGCCGCTACACCGTCCCCGCAGCCATGACCGTCATCCAGTGGGTGGCAGACTTCAGCGAGCGGATCAAGCAGCTGCAGCAGATCTCACAGGGAGCGGCTAGCGGCGGCGCTAAAGAGCTCAAGGTGCAGTGACACACATCAGAGAACAGCAGCTCACACCACATGATTGTAGATCAGAACATCTCAATACAGGTCGCTGAACATGTTTGCCAGTGTTTGAAGATGATCGCTGCTTTTCTGTAGCAGAGAGAGTGCATGTGAAGATTAAGTAAATCACTGGGCTGAAAATGTTCGTTTCTGTAGCGCTTTATACAGTACAATAATAACATGGTGATTCAGTGATGCAAACAGCATTCAATTCTGCTGTAAAACGGCTCTAAAAGATAGCATACAGTCGTCATGCAGTTGAAATCAGTTAATTGTTGATTCAGCTCCATTTAATAACTGTGTAAAGTCCATCAGTTATGGAGAGAGGTTGATTCAAGCAGCTCTGGAGAAAGCAGTGGCCTCATGATCAGCTCGGTTCAGTTCGCTTCCAGGAATGCAATCCATAATGTTCCCAAATATTAAGTGTCCCCAAATAAGTGGCAAGAACCAAAACTGCATCGGTGACAGAAATTAAGAGAAAAAAAGTTGCCAGCCTTTTTGAGGATTTTCACTAACATTTCATGGCCCCTAGAATATTTTGTTGTATGAATATCTGAACATGCAATGCATCACAATAAAGAACAGACCCTCTACTTTCAAACAAAACAATCTATTTTATTTCAGCTTCAAACGTTCTTTTTTTATAAACACTTGAATGTAGGTAGGTTTCATTAAAAAAAAGCAACATTTTGAGCAAAAAGCTGAGAAAATCGAATTTTTATCAAATACTACATCTGGATCATATTCAGTAATATTATCAAAGCTAAGATGCAGTAGATGGCTTCCATCAGCGCTCCCAAAGCTTGCACACTTTCTGGATCCACATTTCACTCGCTAACATTAGGCAGTTTATTATTTATATGCTGTTTATTGTTGATGATCACATAATTTATCATATGCGTATGCTTACATACAAGATCGCTGGTTTCTGCGTCTTCCTGGTCTGTGTTTTTGATCGAGTGATTCTAGACTCATTCAGGAGATGCGTAATAGCGCCCCCTAGCGTATAACAGCGAGAACACGGACAATTCTGTGTTTGGTGGGGAAAGAGTTAATAAATCAAAAGAAGCAGTCAGGATTAAAACATGATTTATCATGCAGCCCTCTCTGAACTGAACTGGCTTGATCGGAATAATGACACTGTTGTCTTTTAGAGCTGCTTTACAGCAGAATCTGAAGTAAAACACAGTTGAGTTTGAATCATTATTTTCCTGTTTATCACGGCGAATCTGCTCTGACTGATCTGGATTGTATAAAGCTGGCTCGGCTAGAGCGGCTCAAACTCAGGAGACTCGTGGTTTCAAGTGTTGAACAGGCTGTTGTTCTCCTGCAGAACATCCATGTGAACCTGGGCGGTCTGTTCGTGCCGGAGGCCTACATCACAGCCACGCGTCAGTACGTGGCTCAGGTCAACAGCTGGTCTCTGGAGGAGCTGTGTCTGGAGGTGAACGTGACGTCTGCGCAGGGAGCGGCGCTGGACGCCTGCAGCTTCGGCATCAGAGGTGAGAGCGGCCCGAGAGAGAGATGAGGAGCGTGTCAGTGTCTGCTGGGTCTCAGAGCCTTCTGTCTGTCTGTCTGTGCGCAGGTCTGAAGCTGCAGGGGGCCACCTGCGCCAACAACAAGCTCTCTCTGTCCACCAGCATCTCCACTGAACTGCCGCTGACGCAGCTGCACTGGATGAAGCAGAGCAACACCGAGAAGAGGAGCATGGTCTGTCGCTGGCCTTAGTTTGCTGTATTTATTTTGCACAAGAATAAGTAAAGTACAATCCATTTACTGTGCAGAGAGACGCCGCTTATTTAGAGCCTCCTCCTAAACGATAAAGAAAACAACAACTCATGAAATCAACGAAAGAGCTAAATCACAATAACAAATATATAAATATAAATAACTACAAATTAATTACAACATTTGTGTCCCTGCAGCACAAAAGCAGTCATAAGCAGCACAGGTATATTTGTAGCAATAGCCAACAATACATTGTATGGGTCAAAATTATAGATTTCTCTTTTATGCCAAAAATCATTAGGATATTAAGTAAAGATCATGTTCCATGAAGATATTTTGTAAATTTCCTACCGTGAATATATCAAAACTTAATTTTTGATTAGTAATATGCATTGCTAAGAACTTCATTTGAACAACTTTAAAGATGATTTTCTCAATATTTAGATTTATTTGCACCCTCAGATTCCAGATTTTCAAATAGTTGTATCTCAGCCAAATATTGTCCTATCCTAACAAACCATACATCAATGGAAAGATTATTTATTCAGCTTTCAGATGATGCATAAATCTCAATTTCACAAAATTGACGCTTATGAGGTTTTGTGCTCCTGGGTCACAAATGTCAAAACCCCCAGAAATGATGTACTCCAAAAACAAACCAATATAGTGCATAAAATACATTTTAAGAAAAAGAAATACACTATTACAAAACGGCATTAAAGTGATCCCTTTATACATCTTTTATAATTTATTAAAGAGGAATTTTTTTTTTTTTTGCTAGATTCGTTACGCCTAAATCTCATCAAGTATTGATCTCTACAAGTTAGAGGAAGATGAATATTTGAAAATTGACGAGTTAAATATTTTATGAATTTTATTTAAAATACATTGTAAATTGCTCTGGAATGTTACCCTCACTTGAATATATCTTATACATAAAATCACATATTTGAAAAATATTAATATCATAAATAGTAAGAACCTGAAGTTTATGAAATAAAGCAGCAGATGAAGTATATATGTTTGATCTCAATCTCAATCTCAATCTCAAAGTATATATGTTTGCACTCTTAACAAAACGCTTCTGAAGCATAAACGGGAAAAGTACTTGCCCAAACTATATTACAATATGAAAGATATGGATAAATTAATAAAGCGCAAGAGGACTCTGTAGTAACATGCCTAACCCTCATTATTATTCCAGTAGATTTATGTATTTTTCTACTCGCATAATCAACTCAGTCTCATCAATAAAAACTCCCAAGAATTTAGTAGTTTGCTCGTGAGGCACCTCGGTAGTCATTTTTGATAAATCCTTGTGTGTAATTTTTTACCACTAAAAATAATAACACTTGATTTTTTTTATATTTACAGATAATTTGTTTAAATTAAACCTATTAGCATAAGCAATTAGATCATCATTTGGTGTTTAATCAGTGAATTAAAGCCTGTCTCTCTCTGTGTTCTCTGCAGGTCACGCTGCCCGTGTATCTGAACTTCACACGCTCTGACCTCATCTTCACCGTCGACTTCGACATCGCCACTAAAGAAGACCCGCATCACTTCTACGAGCGCGGAGTCGCCATCCTCTGCACCGACTAGATGCTGCTTAACCAGCCACTTCTCTTTACTAATCATTGCTGTTAGTGTAGTGAGCTAAACCATAGCTTTGCATGTCGTGTTTAACTGGGAAGGGTTTAGAGTCAGACGCACGTTGGAAGATGGATTGTGTTGGGGTTTCTGAGGCAGATGTTTTAGTAGAACAGAGGGGATTGTGTTTGTTTTAGATGGAAAAATGGAAGTTGATTCAAGTTTTGCATGATTGGTGGTTTCCAATAAAGCTCATTTAGATTAAACGTTACTCGAGTGTGCTTAATTCATTTGAGCCTGTAGGATCCTTTAACGTACACGTCAAATGTGAGCCTGGACCACAAACCAGTCATAAGGGTCCATTTTTATACATCATCTGAATAAATAATCTTTCCATTGATGTGTGGTTTGTTAGGATAGGGCAATATTTGGCTGAGATACAACTATGTAGTTTTTGTCATGCCAATAAAGCACACTTAAATTGAAACAGAAATTGTGTGTGTGTGTGAGCGAGAGAGAGTGTGTGTGTGAGCGAGAGTGTGTGTGTGTGTGTGTGTATGAGCGAGTGTGTGTGTGTGTGAGAGAGCGAGAGTGTGTGTGTGTGTGTTTGTGTGAGAGAGAGTGTGTTTGTGT